AAGACCAAGTCTCTGACAGAAAAGGGGTAATTTATGAAAGGAAGCCTGCTCTGCGAGAGCGCTGTGCACACAGGTGGTCCTCCCCAGCACAGACACAGGGGAACAAGCTGATTCACCTGTCTCCACCTCTGCCCCCACTTCTCACCCCTACGGCACCAGATACATAGGGACACAGAGTTAGGGATATCTAAGGGGAATTTCCCACCTTTTTTCTAGTGATACTCAAGAGTCTTATCCACCAGCAAGGATTTTAGTCAATTCTTACTTTTCTTTTTGTATTCAAAGAGGTTAGAACAGTGCTGTGTCCACTGTAGGGGTTTAATAAATGCCTTATTCACTCACTCACTCACTCATTCATTCACTCACTCACTCATTTGTCAGGGGTAGGGAGGAAGCCCCTGTCCTCCAACCAGCTCTGCCGCAGGAGGAGTCAACGGGCCTCATTCATCTCACCCCATGACACGGCTGCCCAGTCACCCACTCCCTCAAGCCTCCCTTCCCTACTTCTCTGTCCTAACTCTGGCCAAGTCTTCACACACTCTCTGAGCCTTGAGTCGAGACAATCCAGGAGCTGATCTGCCCCCAGGCCAGGCCATATGCAACTCTTTCCTGCTTTTGCGGTCAAGTCCCTTGGCTTCCTGCCAGGCCGTTGTACCCACACTCAGCAGCCCCTCTACACACCTCCTGATGTCAAACTTGCCTCCCTCTTGCTGAAGTTTGATACTAGCCATTCCTTGGCTCTAATCTAAAACAAGGCCATCACCGATACCTCTGCATATGCTATGCAAGGATCAAGGGAAGGAACTAGGAATGTTCAACCTCAAGAAAAGACTTACGGGGAATAGAAGAGCCACCGTCAGGTATTTGAAGGGCTGTTGCCTGGAAGGGTGAGGCTTAGTTCTGCTTGGCCTCAGAGGGCAGAACTAGGAACGAGGTAGGGTTGGGGGGGTGTGGAGGAAGAAGTGGCATAGAGAAAGATTTTGGCTCAATATAAAGAAAGACCAAAGCATGGAATAGTGGAAAGTAAGAGTTGTTGTTCAGTCATGTCTGACCCTTTGTGACCTCATTTGGCAACTTCTTGGCAAAGATATTAGTGTGGTTTATCATTTCCTTCTTCAGCTCATTTTACAGATGAGGAAACTGAGGCAAACAGGGTTAAGTGACTTGCCCAGGGTCATATAGCTAGTAAGTGTGTGAGGCCACATTTGAACTTGGGTCTTCCTGACTCCAGGCCCAGCTCTCTATCCACTGTGCCACCTACCTGCCCCAGAAAGTAAGAGACTGAGGTTCAAATTCCAGCTTAGATCTTTACTAGCTGTGTAACCACAGGCAAGTCACAACTTTCCTGGACCTCAGTTTCCTTATCTGTAAAAACAGGGATAACAATCCCTTGTCCTATCTACTTCACCAAGGTGTGAGGCTCAAATGAGAAAATGGATGAAAAGAGCCTTGACTGCCATCTCTACATGCCCATTATTGTAATTCATTAGCACTATCAAAAGTAGAATGGAGGGTCTCAACAACTACACATTGGCTAGACTTTGGGCATGTTGTAGCAGGGATTTGGGTTCAGGTATTATTATAATAATAACGATGATCATAATGATAATAAAAGCTAGTATTTATATAGTGCTTTAAGCTTTGCAAATCACTTTACTACATATGTTAACTCATTTGATCCTAACAACAACTCTGGGAAGTAGGTGGTACTATTATTATCCCCATTTTACAGATGAGCCAACTGAGACAGAGATTTAGTGATTTGCCCAGGATTAGGTCCCTTCCAATGCTGAAATTATGGTATTATCTGTGAAGATTCTCCCCTCCTCCCTCTCCCTCCCTCTCTCTCTCTCCATGGTCCTGATCTGAGTGCATATCCCTTCCCACCCAGAGGCCCCCAGTGCCTCCCTTTCTATCCTTCCCACAGGGCTGCCTCTGACCAGGTCTTCTCCCTGCTCAGCCACCTCCCACAGTTTCCCTCAGACCATAGGTGAAAAGCCAGACTCCTTAGCCTGATATTTGGAAGCTCCGATGGTATGGTTCCATGGAGGTCAGCCTCAGCTCCCAATACTCCCTTTTCCCCTTGTCCTCCAGGAGCACTAGAAGGATTCCCCACTACCAACTTCCCATGCCCACGTCCATCAGGTTCTGACCTGTCTCTGTGACTTTGCTCAGGCTGCCCTCCCTGCCCCCTTCCCCCACCTCTTCCTCTCCCTTCCTCCTTCCCTCCCTCATCTCTACCTCAGTCGATCCTCTCCAAGGCCTAGCTTTAGCCCCATCCTCTTGGAAGCCCTCTTTGATGATCCTAGTCCACAAGGATCTGAGCGTCTCTATCCTTCTCTGTCCCCACAAGGAGGCCCCAAGCACCCAGGGCCTCTTGCTGATGGAGTCAAGACTGTCTGCAAAGCCAGAATTCTCTCTGTAGGTGCTGACTCCCCTGCTCCTTAGAAGAATCAAAGCCTCTTCTTATGCATTTTCTCTTCTATTTCCACTGTACCTAGTGATCAAGTCAGGTCTTTCTGAGTTCTGAAAGCCATAGACCAGATGGTGTGCCAGCTCTCCAAAGCCGTCTCACTCAGATGCAGCTTGCTCGTGTATGCACACGCATGTGCCTACGTGTACCTGTTTCAATATGCATATGCATGTACGAGCACAAGAGGACATAGACTTCATGGATATGTGCCTCTGTGGGCATATATGTCTGCATTACTATCTCTGGGCTCATTCCACTAGCACTATCAACTTGGGAATCAAAACCTATGGCCAGAAAGGATCAGTAACCACTTTGGAAGACAGAGAGCAGAGCTATCAGGCCCCTGGAGCATGTCACAGCTAGAAGGGCCTTGTGAGACTGTTTGATCCAGTCTCATCATCGTGCAGATGAAGAAATCAAAGCCCTGAAACAGCACATAGTATGTCAGGGGCTGAGGACAGTAAGACCATCCCCCTTCTCATTTGGGATGCTAAGATTGGTAAATTCATGCAGGCAAAAGTCACATTTGTTCTTTGGTATGTCAATTTCTATAAAATTCCAGGATTGGAAGGGACCTCAAGGACCTAGTCAATCTATCAATAGACCTTTATTTGGCACTTACCATGTGGGCACTATGCTAAGATAGTCAATCCGACCTGTATAGAAACCATCCTTGTAACATCCTCTGCCCCAGCTCAGAGACCTTCTGTGACAAAAGACTCACTACCCTGCATCCTAAGGCACTTCGGGATAATTCTAATTTTGGGGAAATTTTCTTTTAGGTTGAGCCAAAATTGTTCCTTCTCTCTACTGAAGACTGGACTACAGGACAGAGGTATGTGTTCACACATCAGCAGGCACAGCTAGGACAGTGATTACTAAAAGCCAGTTAGGGTTCAGGAAAAACTATTTATACTAATCTCATTTCCTTTTTTGATTTACCAACACCTGGATTGGTAGATCAAAGGAATGAATATCTCAGATCCAATAGATACCTGTATTTCAGCAAGACATGGATGAAGTCTTTCATGGTCTCCTTATGAAAAAGATTGAGAGATATGGGCTTGGGGGATTAAAGTTACATGGATTCAGAACTGGTTGAATAACCAACTCCTTCTCTGAAGAGGGATGGACACTAGGGTTGTTTGGAATATGGTTTAGAGACAAAGGGATTATCTGGATGATTCTGAGGGTCACATGAATAGGTCATATGTTTGGCGGGGGTGTTGGGGATGGGCATTTGGCAAACCAAAGAATTTCCCCAAATCTAAATGTCCCTCTCCCACCATTGTCCCCATACAGGTCACTTACCCAGCGTTGCCTTGCCCAAGAGAAGGGCCACCCTACATTGGCGTGCCACTCGCGGACCACGCACCTGCCCCAAGGCCGAGCCCTCCAGCTCCACAGGGGGACAGTACCTACTGCCCCCAGGGCCTCCTTCCACCAGAGGAAACAGGAGAAGGGAGGCTGGGGTGGGAGGTTAGAAGGGCATCTGAAGTCTTCCCCTTCCCCCAGCCTCCTAGTCCATCTCACAAACCAGGAAGCCTCTTGTCCCCTCCTCATACCATGTGGTTGAGGCTCAGAGAGGGATAGTAAGTGAGCTAAAGTCAAGATCCAAAGAGCCCAGGGCCCAGTTTAGGACCCTCTCCCTGAGTGTCTGTTTTAGGGCAAAGGACGCAGACAGCAGTTCTGTTCTGAGCTGTGATCTGATCTCATTCTTCTGCCCCAACTCTGGCTAGTGTGAATCCCATTCCATGCCCACATTTAGTGCCTCCTAAGGGTCTGCTTTCCTCACCTCCAGGATCAGAAAGGCCCCAGGTAAAGCCAGGGTTGCCATCCTTGGTCCCACCAGTCCCTACCCCAAAGCCCCATGGCAGGAACCCCTTAATGAGGATGGCTGTTTCAGGCCATGATGATCTCTCTAAACGCGATTAACATGGTCTCACAGTAACTCAGAGAAAGTCAGAAATGGAAAGGCTCTCGCCCTTCATTCAGTTCACCCACACTCCCCATTTAACATAGGAAGAAACTGAGGCCCAAAAAAGGAAAGGAATTTGCCCAAGACCACACAGCTAATGAATGGTAGTCAGGACTCAGCCTAGGGGTCACTGTACTGGAATTCTCTCGCTCTCTTTATGGCCAACTCTTAAGTGTCCCTCACAAAACTCCATCTTGTTTTTTGTTGTCTGGACTGTTTCCTGTTTGAGGAACTGTTGGTTTGAGCCTCAGTTTCCTCTCAATCTCCAAAAGGCTATCCTTGGGCAGAGGAATTAGACTTGCTCTGCCTGGCCTCAGAAGGCAGAACTAGTGAATAGGCAGATGTCACAGGGAGGCAGATTTTGGCTCAGTATAAACAATCTGTCAAACAAGAGGGGTAAGTTCTACGGGCAGAGGGAGAAGGGAAGAAAAGGAAGACAAAGGAGAAGAAGGAGAAAGAGGGAGGAGGAAAAAGGACAGAGGGAGGACCAGAGCGTTGCTCGGAGGCCTGACCCCGAAGAAGTGGATGAGGAGAAGAAGGGGAGCTCACCGGGGTGGAGTTTGCTTCTAGGAGGGCGGTCTTCCATGCTCTGCAAAGAAAAGAGGGGTCAGTATAAGGGCCTGGGGCTTCCCAGGCCTGAGACCAAAAACAGATGAAGCTCTCTTGGCTTTAGGTCTTCCCTCAGACCCTGCCTTCAGGGTGAGAGAAGGGGAATAAAGGAAAGGAATAAGCATTTATTAAATGCCTACTATGTGCCAGGCACTGTGCTAAATGCTATCTATATACTGATATCTCTATAAAATCCCATTTGATCCTGACAACAACCCTGTGAGATGAGTGATGTTATTATCCCCATTTTAGAGTTGAGGAAACTGAGGCAGAGGTTAAGTACATACCCAGAGTCACACAGCTAGTAACTGTCTGAGGACACATCTGATTTTAGGCCTTGTTGACACCAGGCCGGGTGCTCTATACTCTGCACCATCCAGCTGCCTCCCTTCCACCACCCCTCTCTGAGCCAGTCATGGCCCCTCTCCTCAAAGAGTCCCCAGTCTGAGAACTATTGTCCTTGAGAACCCCTGTTCTCCTGAAGATTCCATGGAGACCATGGGCCAGGAGTTCTTGGCTTTTTTGGTCATGGTGCCCTTTGGCAGTCAGTCAGGTGTAGCCAACCATGTTAAAATAGTTATTGAAATAATTTTTTTATTTTTAGGCAATTGGGGTTAAGTGACTTGCCCAGGGTCACATAGCTAGTAAGTGTCAAGTGTTTGGTCTGAGGCTGGATTTGAACCCAGGTCCTTCTGACTTCAGGGCCAGTGCTCTATCCACTGCACCACCTAGCTGCCCCAAAATAATTTTTTTAAAGTTCTCAGACCACAGGTTAGGAACCCCTGCTCTAAGCCCAAGATGTTCTCTCAGGTCCTGTTGACCAATCCCCTTCTCTCCTCATTCAAAGGTCTTCTCTAGGGACCCATTTCTGACCCTCGGTCCCCCTCAGAACTGGTGAGCCTGAGGGACACTGATGCATGTTTCTCTGTGGGCTGGGGATAGAGACCAGACTTGGGATCCCATTAATCAGATACTGCCTATGAGGAAATCCCCTCCTCCAATACAGACTAGAACCTCCTCTGCATCTTTTACTCTTGGAGAGGTTAAGTCACTTGTCCAAGGTTGCCTAATCGGTATGTGTCAGATGGGAACCCTTCCTGGTTCTGAGGCCTGTTCTCTATTCACCATACCATTCTGCCATCTGTGTTTTTAGTTTTTCAAGTTTTCTGAAGGTGTCTCCTTCCCCTTTCAGTCCTGGGGTTCTTGCCCATCACCCCCACTGTAACCACAGCCTGGAGCATTGGAGAAGGACTCAGGGTGCTCTCAGGCCTCAGCTCTCCTGGAAACTTCCAGAAGAAACTTCAGAACGGCAGCTCTAGAAGGTGCCCCATGGGATGGGGGGGGGCAGGGCTGGGCCCAAAACAGATGAGTCTTTGTCTATTGCTGGGACTTGGGGCCCAGCTACTGGCGGGGGTAGAAGCTGGAACAAGGCAGCTCTGTTTTCCAGCCCCCATGCCTGTCACCCAAGCAGTTCAATCTCTGGGCCTCAGCTCTCCCCACAATATAGATGGAGAAACTAAGACAGCATTCCTGGCCTGTATCTGAATCCTCAGGATGCTGCCTGGATGCCATGGTCTCATGGATAGACACACAGAGAGCCAGGGGGCTGAGGGTGCTGGGAGAGTAGGGACAGGTCTAAGGTGTCATCTCAAGTAGGGGTTGTTTTTATGTGCATGTGAACCCTTATCTGGTATGGGCTTGGCATGTATTCTGAGTGTGAGAGCACAAACACAGCTTAGACACATCTACATGCGTGGTTGGGGTACGCTTAAGGTCATATCAGAAATTTAAAGATGGAAGGAACCTTAGAGATCATTTGGTCTAGAGTGGACCTCTCGATTTACAGGTGAGGAAATTGAAGCCCAGACTGGTGAAGGGATTTGCCCAAGGTCACAGAGTAAGGAAATGGCAGGTCCAGAATTCCAAGCCAGCTCCTTCCTCTGATTCCAAATCCAGCATTCTATCCACAGTACCAAACCATCTCCTGTGAATGCCCACCTGTCTACATGTGCCACATTCAGGGGATGAGGCATGTATTTGTATGAAACATTCTCAGTGTGGAAGGAAGTGTGGAGTGACGAAAAGAATTTTGGATTTGGAGTTCAGGAAAGCTGGGCTTCAGCCCCAGCTCAGTAATTTACTAGCTTTGTGACCTTTGTCTAGTCACAAAGTCACAAGTGCCCCTCTCTGAAACTCAGCTTCCTCTTCTGTAAAATGAAGGCATTGAATTAGATGATCTTTAAATCCCTTCTAGGTGGTCCAGTGGATAGTGCAATGGGCTTGGAGTCAGGAAGAGCCATCTTTGTCAGGAAGTCATCTTTGTGACTTCAAATCCAGCCTCAGATACTAGCTGTGTGACCCTGGGCAAGTCACTTAACCCTGGTTGCCTCAGTTTCCTCATCTGTTCAATGAGCTCTAATATCTTTGCCAAGAATATCCCAAATGGGGTCATGGAGAACAGGACACGACTGAAATGATGCAACAAAATCGCTTCCAACTCTGACCCTATAATCGAAAAATTACAGTATCATGTGATCCATTCATTAGGCTTTTCATACTATCTTCCAGATCAATGTGTATCTTCCTTGTTCCCCCATCTCTCTCTTCTCCCTTCCACCTCTGTGCTCTCCCATAGTCCTGGAATGTTCTCCCTTCTCCTCTGCCTTTTGAGATCTGGGGGGCTCCTTGCATGCCCTCCCTGATCATCTTCTTGCCAAAACTGATCTCTCTCTTCTCACATTTTCATGGAACATTTTCTCTAAATTTCTCCTTTGCCCTTATCACATTCTACTTCGACATAGACTCACCTCTATATCCTATCTCTCCATTGGACTGTAAACTCCAGGAGGGTAAGGCTTACATGGGGCAGGTAGGTGGCACAGACATTTACTAGCTGTGTGACCCTGGGCAAGTCACTTAACTCTCTTTGTCAGTTTCCTCATCTCTAAAATGACCTGGAGAAGGAAATGGCAAACCATTCCAGCATTCTTGCCAAGAAAACTCCAAATGGGGTCACAAAGAGTCAGATACAACTGGAAAAAAAAAAAAGACTGAACCACAAAAGGCTTACATTGTATTTCACTTGTGTATAGCCAGTGCTAGGAACAGGGCTTCCACACAAGAAGCATTTAATGAATAGCTGTTAAATTGCACAAATGTATGTTGTTGAATCTTATGGAAGTGAGGTTATATATTTCTACCAGCCTGCCCCTCCCAAGCCCAAGGCTTCTGTCACACTGACCCCCCAGGGCCTGGCCTCTGTATGGTGGCTGACTCAGCCTCTCCAGAGATGAGCTGGGGGAACAAACAGGCCTCCTCTTTCGGGCCATCCTCTGGGAACTCCCCTCCCCTCAGAAGATTTACATCAACACAGCCTGGAACAATCTTCAGGGACTGCTCACAGCTCCCCTCCATCCCCAAAGCAGGCTCTGCAGCCAAGACAACCTACGGCCTCTAAGTTAAGCCTCTCCCCCAGAGAGCCTCCACCTGCATCCTTCTACCAACTCCAGTTCTCGCCTCCTCTGGGAAGCCTTCCTTGATTAATCCTCTCAAATTTAAAAGTCAGGGGCAATCTGCCACATCTCATTCATTTCCCCAACGAGGGTTCTCTAAGGACAAAAATTGTGTCATTCCTTTCAGACCAGGCCCTCCCAGAAGCCAGGGGCCATCTCTTCCCCTTTTAGGCTGGGAAATCCTGTTTTCAGAACTACTTGAACAAACATGCCTTCTTGCATTCACATGCGTTTGATCCAGGTAAGGAAGGATTGTGAGAGTGTGGGGAAGGAGAGGATGGTTCCTTTTATAAACTGTTACCCAACAGAAGTGAAACACTAAAAACAGCTTGACTGAACCCACCAATCAGAAGCTTAAGGAGGGCAATGTCCTGTTCCTGGAGCGAATGTGGACCATGGATCACAGAACTTAGGGCTGGGAGGGGCCCTAGAGACCAGCTAGTGCAACCCCTCCATTTTTCCAAATAGTATCTTCGTCTACATTGCTGTTCGGTGTGTCCCTTCCCTCTTTCAGAGAGCCATCCCAAATAACAAAAGAACTAAAACAAGAGAAAAAACAAGCTCAAGAAAAAGCCAGACGTCCTATTCAGGACTCCACGCTCCCAGTCCCTGACCTCGGCAAGGAAAGGGCTTTCTCCTATGTCTTCTTTAGGGTTGAGCTCCAATCTCTTCATTTCACAGATGAAGAAACTAAGCCCTCAGAGGAGAGGTGACTTTCTCAAGGCCACACAGTAGTGTCAGAGGTAGGATTCGAACCTGGGTCTTCTGAACCCAGATCCAGCTCTTCTTCCACTGAATTGTGCCTGCTTCACCTGTGCAAACTGAGCAGCAGGGTTTCCCCTTTCTTGTGACACCTTGCCCCTTTAAAGAAACATCTGCCCCGAGGTCCTGCTCTCCTGATTGGTGACTGCCTCCCCAGGATGATGATGATGATGATGATGATGATGAAAAATTAGCATTATAAAGCACCTACTATGTGCCAGGAACTGTGCTCAGTGCTTTACAAAAATGATCTCAATAGATCTTCACAACAACCCTGAGAGGTAGGTATCATTATTCTCTCCACTTTACAGTTAAAGAAACTGAGGCAAATAGAGGTTAAGTGATTTGCCCAGGGTCACACAGCTAGTAAGTACCTGAGGCTGGATATGAACTCGGGTCTTCCTAGCTCTAGGCCCAGCTCTCTATCCAGTGAACCACCTAACTGTACCATTTTAGGAAGGACTCTGTGTTCTACCTCACTCCAGCCTGAAGTCACTCTCCTAACTCCTTCTCCTGATATGCTACTTTCCCTTCCCCAATATTAACCTTTTCTCTCCACCTTTCTAGCTCCCTTATATCTACTGTCTTTCCTCATTAGAATATAAGCTCCCTGAGGGTAAAGACTCTCTTGTTTGTTTGTACTTGTATCTTGATGCACAGTAAGCATTTAATAAATGCCCTATGTTTGACTCTAAGTTGGGTGATCTTTGTACTGCCCAGTGCCCACCCTCCAGGAAGGAACAGATCCAATAAAGACCAGAGGCCTTCTTCCCCAGGGTCCACCCCTGCCCACGCCCGGGAGCCACTCACAAGGCCTCATCCTTCGTCTCAGCACACAGTGTCAGGCGGGGGCCATCCCTCAGGTACACCATCAGGAGAGAGTCCCGGTTCCGACCCTCAGGCAGCTGTACCTCTGAATACCAGAAAACAGGGAGAAAGTCAGAGAGGCTCCAAGCCCTGCCCAGCATGGTCAGTCCCAAAGGCCACTTGAGTGCTCTCATCCCAGGACCCCTGCCCACTCTGACCCAAGCCAAAAACTTTGGGCTGTAGAACTTTGTTCTACAAACAAGGAACCAGGTTTTGACAGATTTAGTTATTGGGCCCTGCTTATACGTCTGTGTCAGCCGAAATCATTTGTTTGAAGCTCTTCTAAGTTTAAACACAAAGGTCACTACATAATTCACATGTTGAAGAAGGGTGAGCTCTAGACTTGGAATTAATAGACCTAAGACACAGTCCTGGCTCTGCCAATAACTCCCTGCTTGAAAGGGAAGTCCTTTCCCCTCTCTGGGCCTGTTTCCTCCTCTATAAAATGGCGGGGGGGGGGGGTTGGATTAGATGGTCTTTCACATCCCTACTACCTCTGTTATTCTAGGATACTGTCTTTCACATACATTTATTCTTCACAATAGTCTCTGTAAAGAAAGTTAAGGAGGTATTATTATCTTCATTGGGCAACAGGGGAAACTGAGACCCAAAGAAGGGGAGGCTGGATGGTTTAATTAAGGTCACACATAGAGTTAGAGCTCCAGTAGCTTTCCCTGCCCTTCCCATTCTAATAACAGGCAAAGTGCTGGGATTTCAAAACATAATAATAATAATAATTATTAGTTTGTTTACATAATACTTTCAGGTTTACAAAGCGCTTCACAAATATTATTTCATTTTATTCTTGCAACAACCCTGCGAGGTAATTGCTATTAGTATTTCAACTTTACAAAAACTGTGGAAACTGAGGCAGATGTAGGTTAAGTGACTTGCCCAGAGCCACACAGCTAGTGAGTGTCTGAGGCAGGATCTGAACTCACGCCTTCTGTTCTTCAGGTCTACCACCTAGTTGCATAGACGAATTGTATTCCTACATCACGTGGCAGGGCTCATTAAGACTTGAGCTCCTTATCTTTTCTATCCGAGTCTCCAGCAGAACCCTGATTCCTGAACTTTGCCAGGTACTGTTCCCCTTTTCTTGACATTAGCCAAAGTCCTGACTTTATCCATAACAAGTTAAAGGTAGGTCATTTTCCCAGAATGGTTACAAGTACTTGGGATTATCTTGAGGTCACAGTCTAATGACAGGACTCCATTGGGGCCACTGGGTTCCACACCACCCTCCATCCCAGGTCTGAGGCCACACACCCACCTACCCACAAAGGGCCTCTTGCCGGCTGAGATGAGGGGGAGAAGTTGCCCGGAGCTGCCAGGGCTGTACACTGGACAGTTCAAGTGACAGCTCCCTGCAATATGTCCACTGGGTTGTGAGCATCCATCCCAATGCCCCTCCTATGCTCACTGGGTTATGAGTGTCTATCCCAACACCCCTCCTACGCCCATTGGGTTGTAAGCATCCATCCCAATGCCCCTCCTATGCTCACTGGGTTATGAGTGTCTATCCCAACGCCCCTCCTATGCCCATTGGGTTGTAAGCATCCATTCCAATGACTCTCCGATGCCCACTGGGTTGTGAGCGTCTGTCCCAATGCCCCTCCTGGGGAGGGTAGGTGGCCCCATCAGGGGCGGGAAAGAAGGAAGGGCAGTGAGATAAAGAGCCCGGTCTCTCTCACCTGGGCACTCCTGCCCAGTCTTCACCTCTCGGCAATTGAACCGGATCAGCACTCGGTCCTCCTCCTCCTCCAAGCTGTCATCCTTGTAGTAGCCCAGGGTGCCATCCAGCCACAGAGCGAACCAGTTCCGCTTCCAACGTCGAAGGATGGAGCCTGAAGAGAAAGGTCCACCCACCTACTAGCCACTCCCTTAACCAATCCCTCATTGTTAGGTGGATGCCCCTCTCTGACCAGAGATTCATTCTCTTTACCAGACTTAGACCCCTGCCTCTTCCCTGTGCCCCACCGGGCTTCTCTCCCCCTTTCCTCATTAACAACAACAATAATAATAGCTCACATATATCACATGTATACAGCGCTTAAAGGTTGGCAAAGCAATTGACATTAATTATTTCATTCAATCCCCATAACAACCCTGGGAAATAGGTGCTGTTATTATCCTCATTTTACAGATGAGAAAACTGAGGCTCAGTAAAATGACTTGCTCAGGGTCACACAGCTCCTGTGTGTCAGGAGCAGGGTTTGCTTTTGGTCTCCCTTGGCTAAGCTGACCATTGTTTCCAGACTATCATGGTGCCTCTGAAGGTATCCCGAGGCTTGCAGACGGTGTGAGGATCCCATCTGTTACTTCATTAGATTTTCATAACAGAGGCCGGTTAGGGATTCTAATTATCCCTCTTACACAGGGGAAAATTCAAGGCCTGTCAGAGCAAGGAAAAAAGCATTCCCATTTTATAGAAGGGGAAAACAAGGCCCAGAAGGGGGAAGGGACATGCCCAGCACTGTACAATAAGCCTCGACACAGCTGGGACTTGGTCAAGGTCTCCAGACTCCCAGTGGGCCCAGGGATTCTTTGTACTTTAAAATCTTTGCACAAAGGTACATTATGAGAGGGATTACATTCAAAGTCGCTCTGTAGACCTTTAAGCATACGTGAGTGTCAGCCCCTACTGCCATCATTAGTGAAGTGCTCTGACAAGTGACTGGTAGCATGCTAGACCGTTGGAGTCAGAGGGGCCTTAAAGACCCTCTAATCTAACACCACCTCATTTTACATTTGAGGAAACCAAGGCAGGGAAGGACCTGGCGGTCAAACCCAAGTCTTTCTACTTCACAAAGGGCTGCACACACGTACAAGGGGCGGTGGAAAGAAAGCTGGCATGTGATTCGGGAGCCCTGGGTTCAAGAGCCAGCTCCAAGGCTTACTGACTGTGTCATGCAGCCTCTTTGAACATCAACATTCTCAGCTATAAAACGTGAGGGCTGGATTAGATGAGCTCAAAGATCCCCCCCTCTCCCAACTCTGACCTTTTCTTTGGTTCTTCCAAAGTTTCATCAGTGCTGTCCCCTCCTCAAGCTCCAGAGACCCAAACCTCCCCCCCGGTGTTCCCCCAGCCCGCCCACATTGGGGAGCTGGGAGCTCCCTCACTCACTCTGCCTCCAGAGCCAGCCAGCTTTCACCAGGGCCATCTCTTCAAAGGGACCTTCCAGATTTGGGCTGGACCTGACAGACAGCGGGGAACAAAGTACCTCTAGTCCAGGAGTTCTTAGCTCGTTCTGCGTCAGGAACCTCTTTAAGCAGTCTGGTGTCAGGAATTCCTATAGACCCCTTATGAGACGAATGCTTTTAAGTACATAGAAAATCCATAGGATTACAAAGGAAGCTAATCATATTTAAATACACTTATTAGAATAATTTTAAAAACAAACAAGTTCCCAGGTGCCAGGTTAAGACCCCCTGCCCTAGATCCCATCCCTGGGCAGGTCTCTGGATATACCTTCTTTTCGTAAGATTCATTCTCCTTGCCAGACTCAGACCCCAAATTTCAGCCCTAGGTTAGGGTGGGGGTGTCAGTTATTCTCCTAATGCTGAGATGGCACGAAAGGTCATTTAAAAGTAAAACACCACTACAGCCCTCCCAAGCCTTTCCTATAGTCATTTGGGAAGATGTAAGAGAAGGTAAGGAGACCATGGAAAGCCTGAGGATAACTGAAGTCTACAGGTAATTCAAACACTGAATATTAGCCCCAAAGCTTCAACCTTAATTGAATTCAGCTCCACAAACATTAACTAAATGCTAAATTTGTAAAGGACCCTGGGTTCAACCCTGAGAATACAATATGAAAAATAACAGTCTCTACCCTCAAGGAGCTTACAGTCATATATATTAAAAATATAATAAAATCAATCAATCAAGGCACATTATTAAGCACTTACTATGTGCTAGGCACTATGCTAAGCACTGGGGATACAATAAAAGGCAAAAGGCCGTCCTTGCCCTCGAGGAGCTTACAATCATATACAGAAATATATATATATGTAATATAATCAATCAATCAATAAACATTATTAAGCATCTACTATGTGCGAGGCACTATGCTAAGCACTGGGGATACAACAAAAGGCAAAAGGCAGTCCTTGCCCTCAAGGAACTTACAATCTAATGAGGAAGACAACATGCCAACAAATAATATACAAATCAAGCTATATACAGGATAAATAGGAAATACTTAAGAGAGGAAGGCACTGGAATTAAGAGGAATTAGAGAAGAAGCTCCTTGAGGGCAGGGACTGCTGTTTTTCACTTTGTCTTTGTGTCCCCAACACCTAGGACAGGGCCTCGTACACTGTACATACTTAATAAATGTTTGGTGGATAGGATTGGCTACAAAGATGAACAAAGGTCAAGGAGCTTACAGTCTAACCAGAGGAATACAACATGTTCACAGATGAATCTAATACATGGTAGAGTGTGGTGGGGCAGTGGCTGAGTCGTGAGGATGTGCTTGCAGAAATTGAGCAGTTTTCGATGGAAATTCAAGACCAAGTCATTGCTTCTAGAAATCACAGAAGGGCTTAAAGAGCTTGGAATTAGTGATCAATGTAGATTATACGATGAAACTGGAGAAGATATTAGGCTCCAATAACTTAGCACCTACCAAATATTTAGCAGTACAGGACCTCTTGATTAGAATTATAAATCAGCAACTTACTGTCTTTCATGGAATGGCAGATAACAAATCACCACAAACATCCTATTGAACTCGGTCAACAAACTGTACTATAAATTATACTGGCCCTCTGAGGACAATGAGCACAGACTGAACTGTCACCCATAATTGCCTGGACATGACAATGATCCACACAAACTAAAGAATGATATTTCTAATAGAGTTCACCAAATCAAATACTCATCATCTCCAAGCTCCGTGGAAAGACTCTCAAAATAGGGACACCTGGCAAAGGAAATCAAAATCTTATGGGAACAGAATGAGGGCTAAGTCATCCCTGTTATCTTATAGGCTACTAGAGTTACAGTGAGAAGGCAGGTGGGTGACCTTGTTGGATACAGCCCCCGGCCTAGAGTCAGGAAGATCTGAGTTCAGACAGCGTTTCAAACACCAGTTGTGTGACACTGGGCAAGTTGTTTAACTTCTGTTGCCTCAGTTTCTTCATCTGTAAAATAGAGATAATAACAGCACCTACCTCACAGGATTGTTGTGAAGGTCATAATATTTGTAAAGTGCTTAGCCCAGTGCCTGGCACACAGTAGGTGCTTAATAAATGCTTATTTTGGGGGCAGCTAGGTGGTGCAGTGGATAGAGCACCGGCCCTGAAGTAAGGAGGACCTGAGTTCAAATCTGGCCTCAGACCAAACACTTGACACTTATTAGCTGTGTGACCCTGGGCAAGTCACTTAACCCCAACTGCCTAAAATAAAATAAAATAAAATAAAATGAAAAAAAAATAAATGCTTATTTCCTTCCCCTACTGGAGTTATAATGAAGATGCTTTCAGTGTGCCTACTATAGATAAGGAAAGAATACAGAACCAAAAAAAGACATAGAGAGCATTACAAAATGTAAAATGGATAATTTTGATTGTATTAAATTAAAAAGGTTTTGCACAAGCAAAACCAATACAACCAAAATTAGAAGGAAAGCAAAAAACTGGGAAAAAATTTTTTACAGCAAATATTTCTGACAAAGGCCTTATTTCTCAAATATATAAGGAAATGAGTCAAATTTATAAGAATACAAGTCATTCCCCAACTGATAAATGGTCAAAGGATATGAACAGGCAGTTTTCAAAGAAATCAAAAGTATCTATAGTCACATAAAAATGCTCATATAAATATAAATGCTCACATATAATCACATAAAAATTGATTAGAGAAATGCAAATTAAAACAACTTTGAGGAACCACCTCATACCTATCAGATAGGCTAATATGACAGAAAAGGAAAATATAAATGTTGGAAGGGATGTGGAAAAACTGGGATACTAATGCACCATTGATGGAGTTGTGAACTGATCCAACCATTCTGGAGAGCAATTTAGAATGATGCCCAAAGGGCTCTAAAACTGTGCATATATCCTTTGACACAGAAATATCACTACTAGGTCTGTATCCCAAAGAGATTTTTTTTTAAAAGGAAAAAAGGCCTATTTGTACAAAATAGCAGCTCTTTTAGTGGTGACTAAGAATTGGAAATTGAGGAGATGCCCATCAATTGAGGAATGGTATATGATTGTAATGGAATATTATTGTGCTATAAGAAATAACAAATAGGATGATTTCAGAAAAACCTAGAAAGACTTATATGAAAGATGATATTTGTAACTCATGAGACCTTTGTCAGTATTAGGGTAGTTGGAGGGAAAAATTATATGTATGTATATAGATAGATAGATAGATAGATAGATAGATAGATAGATAGATGGGTAGATAGATGGATAGAGGGCACAGGGTGAGTTGAAGATGAAGGGGTCATATTTAGAGAATAAAATTAAGAGATAAGAGAGAGGATTATATTAGGAGAAGGAGAAAGGGAGAGGTAGAACGGGGTAAATTATCTCACACAAAAACAGAAAAGAAAAGGCTCTTACAGTGGAGGGGAAACAGGGGAAGGTGAGAGGGAATGAGTGAATCTTATTCTCATAGGATTTGACTTAAGAAGGGAATAACATACACACGTAATTGGGTATGGGAATCTGTTTTACCCTACAGGAAAATGGGGGCGAAGGGGACAGGAGAGTAGGGGGATGATAGAGAGGAGGGCAGACTGGGAAAGGGGGTAATCAGAAGCAAATACTTCTGAGGAGGGACAGGGTCAAAAGATAGAATAGAATAAATGGGGGACGGGATAGGATTAAGGGAAATAGAGTTAGTTTTTCACTGCATGTCTACTATGGAAGTGTTTTGCATAACTGTACAAGTACAGCCTATATTGAGTTGCTTGCCTTTTCAATGAGGGTGGGTGGGCAGGGAGGAAGGGAGAAAATTTGGAACCCAAAGTTTTAAAAACACATGTTTTAAAAAATATGTTTTCACATGCAACTGGGAAATAAGAAACACAGGAAATGGGGTACAGAAATCTATCCTGCCCTGCAGGAAAACAGAAGGGGAAGGGGATAAGAGAAGCGGGGGAGAGATAGAAGGGAGGGCAGACTAGGGGAAGGGGTATTCAGAATGCATGCCATCTTGGGGTGGGGGGAGGGGCGAGACGGGGTGAAAATTTGGAACTCAAAATCTTGTGGAAGTAAATGTTGAAAACTAAAAATAAATAAATTTATTAATTAAAATTTAAAAAAATTTAAAAAAAGACTTATATGAACTGATGCAGAGTAAAATGAACAGAATCAGGAGAACATTATACACAGCAACAGCAATATTGTATGATGAAGAACTGTGAATGACTTAGCTATTCTCAGCAATGCAATGATCCAAAACAATCCCAAAGGACTCACGATGAAAAATGCTGTCCACCTCCGAAGAAAGAACTGATGGCGTTTGAGCATAGACCAAAGCATACTATTTTTCTCTTCCTTCCTTCTCTTCTTCTTTCCTTCCTCACTCCTTCCCTCCCTCCTTTCCTTCCTTCCTGCTTTCTTCCACAAAATGACTAATATGGAAATGCTTTACACGACTGCACATATATAACCTGTATCAGATTGCTTACCATTTCAGGAGTAGGGGAGGGGAGGAAGGAAGAAACAGAATTTGGAACAAAAAAAACACCTGAATGTTAAAATTGCTTTTACATGTAATTGGGGAAAAATTAAAATATTATTTAAAAAAAATTAAGGTCACTTAACTCTAATTGCCTCACCAAAAAAAAAAATTAAGGAAACTGAGGCTAGGAGCAGTTAATTGACTTGCCCAGGGTCACACAGCTAGTAAATGTCTGAGGCCAGATTTGAACTCAAGTCTTCCTGACTTGAGGGTCAATGCTCAATCCATTCAGTCACCTAACTATTGGTATAGGTAATAATAATAAAAATATTATTACTATTTAATCATTAACAGCTATTAATTAATAAATAATTACAGATATTATTAAAATATTATCAGTAATAATTATGAGAACTTATATCCCATTATAAAATTACAAAGAGTAGTCATTTTATTCACTTGTACAATAATTCACAGAACATTCATTAAAAAAATAATAGCAGTATAGTGACTTGTTCTTAGACCACTAAGGTCCCTTCCAACGTTAAATTCTGTGATTCTTTGAACATGCTACAGATCCTATGTTAAGGATGACTGCTTCTGTTTTTGTGCAGACCCATCACCTCCCTGGTGCTGGGAACGCCCTGACAGG